TAAACTTTTATAACATCGGCATACATTTTTTCGTTCATCTTTGTGTCGCAATACATTTTCAATTGTTATTAAATAATTCTTATTTTTTTCAATTAGCGTCGTTGGTTCAGTGGTAGAAAGCTCGCCTGCTGTGCAAGCGACCCGGGTTCAATTCCATCTGAGTAATGTCTTATCACTTACATATTGGTTTCATAAAACCGCACCATTTTTTATTCCGTAGAGTAGAACATGACAAGACGAATTTAAGGTCCGATACATCGTTGTTGATTTTAAAATTACTCCTGAGATGACATTGAGACAGACAGGTCTCAACTTTTGCCTCTCAGCTCAGAAACTTTTACCCTCTATAGGAATAAATCAATTACAGAGAGAATAATGCGTTGTTTCTTACCTACTCTTGGAAGCTTTTTCTTTACACAAGTTCTACTAATATATATCTTAGTTATATATACTATATATATCTTACAATATATAATATGTTACAAATATTATACTTATAAATGGGAAAGTTTGTATGGTTATTTGTTACTCTTTCACGCCTAAACAGCTGTATGGATTTGTATGAAATTTTGCTTAAATAGGTTATCACCTAGATTGACACAGGACTGGACACAGTGACAGGCACAAGCTAGTTTAGTATTATAATAGAGAATAATCAAAGAAAATACAAGAAAAACTAAAACAAAGGTAGGTTTACTTAGATTGCTTTAGATATGATAGGTTTAATTACCTGCCTGCGTTCATTTTCAGGATTACTTTCCTCCGTCATGACAGGATTAACACTGAGAAAATAAGAAAATAAAACTCCATTCCAACCCTAGCTCTCGACTGTATACTGTATCTAGCGCTGAGCGCAACGATTCAGTGGAAAAATTAAAAAAAAAAGCCCTCCATATTGGCCCCGCAAGTTCAATTAACGCGAGCTGGGATTGCGGCCGCCATTGTGACAACTCTCATTCGGAGGGATTTATTTCGCGCATTCGTTTCACACTTCAATAAATCGTTCATTATTTTTGATCGAGATGTTAGGTGGACCTATGAACTGTAGGATGAGTGATATTTTGGGGTTTGCTTAATATTTATATATAATATGTACTCTTATAACCTACCTTTTGGTTTAACCTTGTTGATAGTTTTTATTTGTAGCAAACTTATCAAATCAGCAGTGCTATTCTGTAAGAACAGAACAAAAGAACATTTCATTCCAGAATCCGCGGTGTCATTTAAATTTAGAACACGAATCCTTCTAAATTTGTAAACTAACACCCGCGCGCGACTTCATCCGAGTTAACTTTAGTTTTTTGAATATCTCTGAGAAACATAACACTTTTCGGGACAAAAAGTATCCTATGTCTCAATCCAAGTCATAAACTGTATGCGTACCAAATTTCATCGAAATCCGTTCAGTAGTTATTGCACTGCTTATAGAACCTGGATTAAGACATCGGATACTATTTATCCTGGAAAATATCAGATTCCCGTGCGAATCTCAAAAAAATATAGTTAACCGCTAGATAAAATAATGAATTCCGCGTTAAAATATTAGTTTGTTCTGACAGAATAGCACTGCTCAGACTTCATTAAATAGAGGTGCTCTTATATTTGAAACGCACGAAAGAAAATGTGTGATTCGGGAAGAGTAGGCTCACTCTGCTCGTGCTCGGTGCCTGTGGAAAACAGTGAGTGACGCTGACGCACGCCGTCCACACTTTCCCAACTTTAGGCACCTAATAAGGCTTATTAGTCAACTCGCCATGTCGAATCTGGCCGACCGACGAGTTGACAATTTTATTTGTTAATATGCGTCAACTCGCCCTCTCAAAATCTAATAAATCAAGCTACTTTTGCACCAAACTAGCTGACCAAGTCGGTCAACTAGTTTGTACTTCAAAAGCACCGATAATTATTTTTAGATAGCAAGTAATTTTTCATTTTAAAAATAATTCTGTTTTCTTTTTATTGTTTATTTTTCTGCAAATCTCATCCTGACAATAACGAACAAAATAAAAAAAATCCAATTTGGTTCAGTCGTTCGAAAGTGATCCGCATACATACCTTTTGACGATATTTTTTTTAAAATAGATTTTGATGTCTGACTGTTGTCTCCCCTGACAGCACCCCTAGGGCAGACGTCAGGATTTCTATAGTACCTACCTACGAATGTGTCCCCTCACCTAACACTTAACATGAAGAAGTATTTATACATATATACTTAGGTACTAATATTATAAAGCTGGAGAGTTTGATTTTTTTGCTGAAGGTTCTTATGTTAATGTTCCTATTAAAAAAAAACCTTTTTGTGTTGCATACTGCATTAATCGAGATAGGCTTTAAGCTATAAAACATAACGCTAAGACCAGGGGGCCAATCGCCTAACGGAAATGCTTTGGAAAACGCTAACGCTTACGATTTTATTTTGTTATTTCTAGCCGCCTGAGGTATTCAAATGCCTCGCGCTCTTTCTTTTTCTTTTGCATTGGTAATAACAATATTAAAAAAAATGAGCGTGAGGTATTCCAAAACCTCAGGCGGCTAGAAATAACAATATAAAATCGTAAGCGTTAGCGTTTCCCAAAGCATTTCCGTTAGGCGATTGGCCCCCAGTAAGAGCGGAGCATCGATGAAAAATGTTGCAGAAAAGGGTAATAAAATTCCATTTGTGAGGTTCCGTTGTGTGCGCTGCGTAATTGGATAAAGTTACACTAAAAGTAATGTATGACGGAATTGTTCACCTTTAAAAGTTCATTAAAAAAGTTCGTGACAGCATATGCTCATCTTTTAAGTTTGACTCACAATAACCTATTTCCTCAAATTAACGCCGGTGAAACCGCAGGGGACCACTAGTTGTGACATAACTGTAATAGGCATTATGGTATCGTGAACATTTTTGTAGATATTGATGTCCTCTATAAAACTTTAGTTCATCACTTTTCTATGACTTCCGCAGCGTACGCGATATAGGGTAATTTTTAGTGTTTTTTGACACCTTGGGTTACATCATCGAAGTTTTCATACGGAACCCCTTAATTATTTGAAAATACTCTAATATTGAATGTGTAAGTATTTTCAAATCAGTCCAGTAGTTTCTAAGCCTATTCAATACAAACAAACAATCAATCAAAATTCGTCAACTCGCCGGTCGGCCAGATTCAACATGGCGAGTTGACTAATAAGCCCATAAGAGATGGCTGCCATTTATTATTTGTGATAAATAAGCTAAGAGAGCTTCAGCAATAATTTTAGAAAATTAAAATCAACCTAACGCGAAGAATGCCATCGACTATCGACATACACTATCTATATCTAGAAGGTTGTTTATAAATATAATGTGAAATTATGCAATATGCCACGATACCTTAGTGGATAACACGCCGAATAGTGCTCCTAGGGGCATGGGTGCGATCCCCAGGACACGTAAGTACAACTTAAATATGGTTTAATTGGAACATATTTAAATCCTTAAAAAAAACATTTAAATATTTCCCTTTATAATTTATATTTCATGTCGATGCGGACGACATCAAAGAACTTGTCGTTGGTTTTTGGTAAAGGAAAACATCGTGAGGAATCCTTCATATCCGAGGGGCAATTTATAGGTAATAATGATGCTGATGCACCACATGAAAAAGGAAATACATAGGTAATACAAATTAATTTAGATATCGACTAGTTGTAAATCTACAGTAGCCTACCAAATCGTGAGGTAGACGGAACCAGGGCCGGATTTCAGGCGGCCTTACAAGAGAGGGGCCCAAAAGCAGAAATCTAAATTTCAACTGGTGGGCAACCAGGGAGGTGGGAAGGGGATTCAATTCGTAAGTAGCCCGGGGTGCCATATTTTAAAATGGGGGACCCTACTCCTTCGTTGCCCCGGGGCCTCAACACCAGCGTTGATTATTCAGTAGTAGAAATTTTGGCCAGTAACATTATTGAAGGCGGATGCCATTTACTATAATGATAGCTCATAAAGCCACAAAGATATAAAAATCGTTGTCTTGTAAACCGGTCGAAAGTGAGCGGACGCGGCCATCGGGCGCGGCGCACGTAGAAGCCGCGCGGATCAACGGTTGACAATTTGTTCAAACTTGTAGAGAGACCGACCGACAGACCCCTGCCGTGGAGCTCCGTCTAGACCGGGAGGCTGCTGGGTGCGGAGACGCGGAACAATCCCTAACGGGGATCCCGCGGTTTCGCACTAAGCAGCTTAGAGGGTATTCGCAGGGTTTTTAGCGGATATTATGCCGTAAAGCGCCCGTAACAGTTACGGGGTCCTCAGTGGGCCGCCACTGTGGGGGCTCATAAGGTTTGCGGGAGCCAGGTGTGAGCTCCGTTCGGCGGTGTGCCTCTTAAAGGCGCCGTCGTCTGTAAACAGAGTTTTTGCCTACGTCACAAAAAAAAGGCAGGTAGCGGTATCGTGCCTTTTTTTCACTCAATTTTGTATTCTTAACTTAATTTTCGAGATTGTTGGATTTTGTGGTGTGCGAAAAAATAGACACACCGTCTGCGCACCTCACGGCTCGTGTGATGTTCACCTTTTGACTAAAAATAATTATTTAAAAAAATGCTAAAGACGAAGCAGTATAAACTAAGTTTCCTTCACCTTCCTGAGAAAGTAATTACATTAAAAAAAACTTTGTCAATGTTGCCAACTGACAACAAGTACCATATTTGCAGTTTTTTCTTATTCTATATTGTAGTAGTTTCATAAATTACCACACAAGAAAAGTACTGTAATTGTAATTTTGTAAAATAATCCAGAATCACGATCTGTCAATATGGTAATACAAAACTAGCTTTCATTGAATTAAACATTTCGTTTGCCAGCATAGTATTACAGAACCTATCACAAACTTACTCGTCCGTATGATTTATATGTTTTATGGTAAATTCACCGTAATTGTAGTCACATATACTGGCAGCACTTTTTGTAGCTGTCATTTGTCACAAATGACAGTGCTATTAACTGTCACTGTCAGTCAATCAATGTCAAGTTTGTTTGTCCGAGATCCGACGAGCCGACGACCTTTGTATTATTTTTCAAATAAAATCTAGTTTTTATGAATTGCTTCTCATTATTTTTGCTCGAGATTACTTAATTTAGTGCCTGATCTAAATATATAGGTACGTAACAATCAGTACTTTTGTGGAATAATATGTAGACACCTTCCTAAATAGAGCAAACTCGTTCAGTGACCGGCTTTTTGTTCATAAAAACTGATAAAAAGTTTAGGTTACAGTTATTCAAGTATCGTGCTATCGATAATGGCTAAGAAGCCAACGAACAAAACTCAATCAGAGTCCAAGGCCAAAGGCAATAATACAAAAAAATCGTCTTCATCTGGAAACGTAAGTTTTTATAAATTAATTTTTTTTTATGATTAAACTTTTTAAAAAATTTATTAGGTGACTTTATCTTTGTATCTCTCCAGCTACTAACGTTTAGTGCAAAATAGTAAAAGCCTATCAATCCTTATTATCATTTAACCTTTCAAACATAAATCTCTTTTTTCTACCTTACAATACATACAAACCTTCCTTATCACTATCTGGTGCTGAAAACTGCATTAGAATCCATTCGTCAGCCTATTAATTTCCCCACTGCTGGAGCACAGGCCTTCCCTATGGATAGAATAGGGAGATTGCACCTGACCCACCAAGCGTGCCCAGTTCGGATTGGTGGGTGCTTACTACTGCAGATGCACCCGGGACCAACCAAGCCATAGAATCCATTATTTAGTTCAAAAGATCTTAACATACAAACAGCAGGAGAGATTTTGTTTTGAACTTGGTGTCTCGATATAGGAACTGAGTAAAGATTTATTACCTATTTATTTCAGATTGGAAAACTTCTGTTTGTTTTTGCAATCCTTGGTGGATTATTAGCTTTCTATGTTTACAAATTGGTCACTACACCTCCTGAGACACCCAAATATGACTTGGAGCAGTGGTGGGGACCATATCCGAAAGATCAAACGATAGATGTTTCCATTAGACCCTTCAAGATTGAATTTAGTGACGTGGTAAGCAGAATGTTGTGTTAAAACATTATCAAAATTTAAAACAATTGAGTACTGACAAAATAAATGTAAAAAATAAAAATTGTTCTTGGGTTATACATTTGTTACACAAAATAACAGTTTCAATTTATGAGGCTCTTATTACGTATATCGGTATTACTAGCAAAACTGTAACTAAGGGCCTTATTTGAAAAACATGGACTAAAGTTATATTTGGTGTCCCTTGGTCAATAATCACATCTCTGTTTTCTTTTTAGATTAATTGTTGTATGTTTAAAAAAAACAGTGGTGACACCTTAATTTTTAAACTGGATTTAACTATAGTGTAGTTTAGAATTTGTAGTAAGGCAGTGAATATTTAACATACAAGTGTTTTGGCATTATTTTTCAGATAGTGAATGATCTCCGAGAAAGACTGATGCATCGTCGTCCATTTGTTGAGCCTCTGGAAGATGCGGGCTTTACTTACGGCTTCAACAGTAAATTCCTGGGTCAAGTTCTTCATTACTGGCAAAATAAATACAACTTCAAGGACAGGGAAAACTTCTTTAACAAGTTTGATCAATATATAACCAACATTCAAGGCTTAGATATTCATTATTTGCATGTCAAACCAAAAGTTTCAGATAGTGTTGAGGTAAGCTTCATTGTTCCATAATGTTCATGTTAGATTCTTAAAATATATTAACTGTATAATTACTCTCTCCTGAGATTACCTGAGATCCCTATTCATGTGGATCTATGAGTGCAATTGATCGTTGAATTGAATAGGGATGATGACGGGGTACAGTAAACGAAATTCTATTTAGTCCGTCAGTTAGATGATGAGGGAGTAGGGGCTCGTGTGAATTTTCACTAATAAGTGTACTCAAACGTGACGTCACGAGCCCCTACTCCCAAACTTTGACGTGCTGTAACTTTGTCATTTTTTGGTTGATTGCCCAAAGAAAAAATACGTGTCCATTATTTTTTGATAATCTACCTGATAAACGAAGAAAAAAAAATTAGTCATCATCCCTATTGATATGCATTTTCTGACAACATCTATTTTTCATCCCCCTAAATGTTAAAGTTGGTTAATTTTTGTATTTGACAATTTTTTTTGTTTTTATTTTTTTATGATAAATCATACAAAAATACATAAAACCCTTTCACCCTTCTACCACCAACCCCTATTTTTTATAGGGGTTGATGGTAGAAGGATATAATAATAAAGGAAGATGAAGGAAGAGATGAGAGGATGAAATAAAAATGGCTGCAGGAGAGGCTTGGAGCAGGAAGGCCATAGATAGACAGCATTGGGAAAGTGGGGGAGGCCTTTGCCAATTGGCATTTTGATTAATAATTTAGGTAAATGTAATATCTGCCGTCCTCAAGCCAAAACGCGGCTAAATGACAAAACCAACTTTTGAGATATGGCCAAAGAAAGGCATGTAAACTTAAAATTATTGCTATTTTGTAACCATTCATCATGACTGTAAAAGATACGAATACTTGTTAAAGACAGTTCAATAGAGAATTAAAAAAGATGCAATTTAAGACTGAAAAATCGACCACATGTCACTTAGACGCACTGTAGTTTGAGGACGGCAGATATATGTAACAAGTCAGTCTGAATAAAGGCTTATTTTATTTTGGGGTAAAGGGTACCACTATAATAAATCATCAATTAATTCATTGGTAAAAGTAAAAGTTGTGGTATTATTCATGGCTTTTTTTATCACAGGTTGTGCCACTACTGATGCTACATGGCTGGCCTGGATCAGTCAGGGAGTTTTATGAGCTCATCCCGAAACTGATAACTCCACAATCTGGACACAATTTCGTATTTGAAATCATTGCCCCGAGTCTACCAGGTTTCGGATATTCACAGGTAAAGGAGATTGTAACCTTTGCTTCTTATAGTATTACTAGTGAACTCTTCATTGAATTTGTCAAAAGGTAAGTTGACCCATATCCACTAGGCAACAGTTGACGCGCAACACAAGATACTCAACATGTTCGGCAACGTTGCACAACAGCGCGGAATTTTGATTTGGGCATGATCCTGGTGTTGCGCAAATGGAGCAAATACAAAGAGGAGCAATACAGAAAGAGAGACATACATAAGAGTCATATGTATATACACTTTCGGACACATGTATCGGCCCACCTAGCATTTTAAGTTTCGATATTAAATACCCTAGATACCCCACGTGCGCTTAAAATGTGTAAAAGCAAATTTTGTTGTAATACTTATGATAAACTGATTTAATAAAAACTAATTGTGATATTCATGCATGGTCGGTAATATACCTGTCTCTTTTCCTTGCGACCCGTACCTACTATATTGCTAACAGCGCATTAAGAACTGCGCATAGAGGCAAAGAAATAAGGTCTTTATTCTTAAATACATATAGCAAGAAATCGTAAAATTTTACGAGCTTGCATTTTGAACTGTCATAACTCTTTCACGCATGCGTTTTAAGTAAGACCTTATACAGTATGCATTAAAGGTTTTAATAATAAAACTTTCAATGTTTAAATAATGCCTTATATTGTTTTTGACTACGCGATCATCTTACGGAGCTCCGTAGATTATCCAATGTACCTTTTGGACAGGTTTCGGCCACGGCTTTGTTCGTGGTGCTGTATCTACTCATTTTGGGTTGTCTATATATTGAAATTTACTGCAAAATTACTTACGTCCAAAAGGGTTACTGCTAAATTTAGAAACTATTCTACACTATGACTCTACCAAGAATTAAATGAAAATTTACCTTTAATATGGATGCTGGTACAACAATAAATTTGGAAGATTACCGACCTCGCTGCATCTGTGTAGTGGTTGTGTCTGGTGTTGAAAATATTTAAGGGATGTCGTTCAAACTGCTGCTTACATCAGAGGTTTCGTCAATTTCCCCATGATGTTATTGAAATTTAAATAAGATAAAGAAAAAAAACGCTTATCGCGTTTTATAAACAAATTAAGCTTGGGTCACGGCCCTCGCCATTCCGTATAAATGATGCAAAATTTTTCATCATTAAAAACAATCGATAATCTAATGGATTATCAAGTTAAAAATTTTGATTAATAATCTTACATCTTTTACGTAAAAATTTTGGTCGTGAAGTAATTTTGCAGTAAATTTCAATAAATAGACAACCCAAAATGAGTATGGATTTGCATTAAACCCCTTTGCGATTAATAGTTCGATGCTTTCCCGGCTAATATGGTATAATAGTGTGGTAGGTCTGGCGCCCGAGTATTCTTTTTAATTAATTTCGGCCTATCCATTTAAAGTAATTTTCACAACAATTTATTATTTTTTACTATTACATTTGACACCATTGCATTTATTTTATTATTACAATTGGCGCCCGAACAGGGACTTGAGATAAAAACGAACAGAGAGAGACAACCTAAGAAAGTCTTCTATCTCGCTCTTCGAGCGAAGGAGATTCATGTAACGTTTTTAACACGTTACAGGTATTTAATATCTTTGTCAGGATCAAACTAAACTGACGCGAGACACATGCGATCGCTCTCGGAGTAGGAGCAAGGAACATGTTCCGCGTCACGTGATTGCTTCGCAAAATGTTGGGGGCAAGTTGCGAGATGTTGCAGCGTCACGTAGATTGAGCGTTGCGCGTCATGTTGGCGGTCATCTTGTCACCTAATGTATTCGAGGCTTACTATATTTAAATTTACAGGGTCCAGCGAGAAAAGAATTCGGTCCTTTAGAGACCGCAGTAGTAATGAGTAACCTTATGAAGCGAATAGGCCATAAACATTACTACATTCAAGGCGGCGATGCCGGTCACACGGTGGGTTCCACAATCGCCACTCTATTCCCTGAACAAGTGCTAGGGTTCCATACTAACCTACCTATCAATACTGGTCGGGTTGCTACTGCCCTCTTGTTTGTAGGTGAGTGAAATGATTTTGCTGCGATCAAGGGCGTCGCCAAGGGGGGGCTGGCTAGAGATCAAATGTAGCTAACTGCATAGCGACCAAACTGCTAGCAATTGACTTCCTTGCCCCATTACCCCCTTAGTCATAAGTTGGCGACGCTCTTGGCTGCAATTTTATGCTATGCTAAATTGTTCTTTGATGTGATAACGTATTATATAAATCGATGAACCTGGCTGCCCGCACGAAAAAGTGTGATGTCATATCACGAGTCATGGTATGTTACCGCCTGCCCTCTTCCTCTTGAAGTGTTAGATTCCCCGGGGGTGAGGCCCCGGAGCTGCAGAAACGTGCTTGGGCTCAAACTTACTGAAACAAGAAGCGCGAAACAAGCGAGCAAAGTCGCGAAAGTTTGTATAATCACATAAAAACTTCTGAACAGATTTAGATGAAATTTGGTACGCATATTGTTTTTGACCTGGAATGAGACATAAGACACTTTTCACTCCAGGAAAAGTTTAGGTTCCTGTGGGATTCTCAAAAACTATAGTCAATGCGGACGAAGTCGCGGGCGGCCGCTAGTTTGGTTACAATGTTGGTGCAAGTTCCCCGTAGAATGGTTGCACCAATCACCATTCTAAAAAAAATTTAAAATTCTAACACACAAATATTGTTTTCCCAGGATCGCTCTGGCCCAGTACTATAGTGGAAAATAGACTTCAAAGTCGTATGTATCCACTCAGCGAACATATCCCCAAATTGTTAGAGGAGACCGGATACCTCCACATACAGGCCACCAAGCCGGACACCATTGGTGAGCAAATATAGTACTTATGCTGTTGTAATAACGTCGCTTTTACTGGTTCACTCTGATCTACAATGCTCTAAGATTTCCCCCATACTGCTGGAGGAGACCTGATATCTTCACACACATCGACCAAGCCGGATACCATCGTATATTTTGGAAATAAAACTTCTTTTCGAACGGTGTGTAAGTGGAAAAATCCTATGGAAAAGATAAAACGGAAATGCGACACGAGCGTCACACTGCTATATATGTATAGGTGTGTGTGTGTATAGTGCGATTCAAATAAGAATTGGAAAGCTAATGTCCTCCATCTTTCAAATGTCGTTTGAAAAGTACGGTTTGCAAAAAAATCTTGGAACCCTTTTTTAGCCCTCAGCTAATTCTAGAATTTAAACCAAACATTTGTAAACAAATATTGATAATTAATATCGGTTGATATTTTTTTTCATTTATTGAGCTTTGGCTATAAATAGTTGATAACCTAAATCATCAACCAAATGTCACTTTAAATTACGTTTGGTAAACTCGATTTACAACTTTCGCTTACATAAAGGATGCATGTTCGTATGTGACCGAGTAATAGTGCATGATTATTCATAACTACTCCGGCGGTAATGCAGAGATGAGCGGAATTTAAGGCATTGTCCTAATACAACGCGAATGAGCGATGCGATCATCGTACGAGTCGACGATCAAACATATTGATCTAGAATAGGTGTCCTAATAGGCGATCGCGCGATGCATTCGCGCGACTAAAATGTTTAAAAATCTATTCGCGCGAACTTGGTTCGCGCAATCAAACCTATTAATGATGAATAGGTGTCCTAACTGAAGTTCGCGCGATGATCGCGTCGCGTCGATAGGAAGCGGGGAGAGGGGCAGGGCTAACCCGTTCCGTATTCGCGTTCTATTAGGACACCCAGTTCGCGATCACGCGATGGTCGCGTCGTTTAAACGCGCGATGATCGCATTATCGCGTTGTATTAGGACAATGCCTAAGAGTTAGATTCAGATTAATAGTTTTTTTCTGACACAGTCTTAATAAATAAATATTATTAATAATCGGTTGTTTTTTTGTCAATCTCAGTAAATAAATTTTATTAAATAAATCTAACGTTTTTTCTCACTTAATCTTACTAAATAAGTTTTATTAAATAATAACTTTTTTTGCTCACACTACCTATTTGGTTCGAATTAACAGCTCTGACGTCACAATATGGCGCCCAGTCGGTCCTATTCTTAATTGAATCCCATTATATGTGTGTGGGATGCGTGCGCAGCTCTTCCCAACGAGCATGAAAGTTAGAGGGTAACTCGGCGAAGGCTGAAACGCTACGAGCGTCACACGCGACAATATATATACATATTGACGACCTCCGTGGCCGAGTGGTTTGTACGCCGGGTTTCATGGCTGTCGCCGACTCGAGAGGTCTCGGGTTCGAATCCCGGTGGGGGTAGATGTTTGTGTGATGAATACGAGCATTTGTACTCCAGTCATGGATGTTTAATATGTATTTATATAAATATACTTATATATGTACAGTATATGTATTCTATCCGTTACCCTAGCATCCCATAACACAAGCCTTATAGTGCTTACTTTGGGGCTAGGCTAATTGGTGTGTGTCGGAAATATTTATTATTTATTATTATTATTATTCTTAAACTTAAAACTATATAAGCGATTCGTACGCTACTCTATTCCCCTATGCTTTATGCACCGCCAATGTTATGTTATTTAAGAAAAGAAGTTTCACTTCAGATGTATGGTCCGTGCACACATTTTTTTCCTGTTACAGTAGAACGCCGATTATCCCAATTAATTGGGTCCCGGAGTCGATTCGGATAATCGGACATAGACTGGTAATAAAGAAAAACGAACTGTCACACATAGAATAAACCTTATTAGTTTAACAAACACAGTTCTACAATACTAAATACAATAGTGGAAGTTCATAGTAGCAAAAAAACCGCGCCACGCAAAACATGTATAATGCGATTCAAATAAGAATAGGAAAGCCAATGACCTCCATCTGTCAAATGTCGCTTGAAAAGTACGGTTTGCAAAAAAATCTCGGAACACTTTTTTAGCACTCGGCTGATTCTAGAATAAAAACCAAACATTTTTAAACAAGCAATAACAAATGTTGATAATTCATATTAGTTGTTTTTTTGTCATTTATTGAGCTTTGGCTATGAATGGTTGATAACCTAAATCGTCAACCAAATGTCACTTTATGTTGCGTTCACAAACTCGATTTAAAACTTTGGTTTACATAAAGGATGCATGTTCGTATGTGACCTGCATGATTATTCATAACTTCTCCGGTGGTAATTCAGAGATGAGCGAAATTGAAGAGCTAGATTCTGATTAATGTTTTTTTTTCACACAGTATTGATAAAGAAATACTATTAAAATTCGGTTGTGTTCTTTCTCAACCTTAGTAAATTAATTTTATTAAAAAATCTGATGTTTTGTCTCACTTAATATTAGTAAATAAGTTTTATTAAATAGCAACATTTTTTTGCTCACTCTACCTATTTGGTTTGAATTGACAGCTATGACGTCAAAATATGGCGCCCATTCAGTCCTATTCTTAGTTGAATCGATTATAGTGTCTTGCCTCTAGCTTTCAACCATAACAGTTGAAACATACCTGGACTCCAGCGAGTTCCAACTTGTTACAACAAAACAAAACAAAAATAGCTTGGTTTTATTTTTTTTTAAATTACGTTTAGGAGTGATTCGGTTAATCGGCGTTCTACTGTAATTAGTTATTATTTTTCCTAGGTATCGCTCTCACCGATTCCCCGGCCGGACTCGCAGCGTACATTCTAGAGAAATTCTCCTCGTGGACTAATCTCGCGTTCAAAAACGCCACAGACGGTAGATTGCTCGAAAAATACCAACTGACGCATCTACTAGACAATGTGATGTTGTATTGGGCATCGAATAGTATCACCACCAGTGTTAGAATTTATGCAGAGGCGTTCAGTAAGAGAACTATGGCTATGAGACTGGATGAGTAAGTATATTTCTGTGTGTTCTTCATTAAAAATGTAGCGGTTCTGGAACAATATCGCGACCTTTGTTAAGACTAAATATAAGTATATAGATTGGGTGTTCCCTAACCAACTGAAGTATAGCAAGGCAGATAAGTGTAAAAGAGAAAAACCGATAGGGTGGTCCATAATTGGCTGTATTTCTGTCTCTTTCTAGGGTGTTGTCTATATCACGCGGGAATCGCTTAGTACTGTTTCTATGTCTATGGTTAATACGTATGCAAAGATGTTAAGCAGGCATTGGCTATGAGACTACTCTACTCCTCAAAATAGCAAGGGTTAATTTTTTCTATTAACTTAAAGCGAAAATATATTTAAAAAAAAACATCTCTCTACAGCATCCCAACTGAAGTGCCAACATGGGGCATCAAATTCAAGCATGAGCTTATGTTCTACTCCGACTGCTTACTGAAGCTCAAATACAAAAACTATCTGCACAGCACTATGGTAGAAGAAGGGGGGCATTTCGCCGCATTCGAAATGCCCCACGTTATGGCCAAGGACATCTTTGAAGCTGTGAAAACGTTTAGAGAATTCCACAACAGTCAAAAGTAAGTTTTCTTTCTACTTTCCTTATCCTTCTTTCTCTTTAGTATACCGTATCGTTGTGTTTTAAAATCCTTCCGTTTCCCTAATTTTTTTATTGACTGTGGCTCAATGTACAAGTCATGCAAAGCCAAGAAAAAAGAAAAAAAAGGTAAGTTTATCCAGCGCATAGGACCAAGTGACTTACTCTGAACTTTAGTTTGTTCATAACTAAGAAACGCTGAGGTAATTCAGTTTAATACCTTATTGGGCGACTACGATAAAGCTACTTGTTTATTTTTCTTTAAACTTAGGCTTCTTATAACTTTAAGAAGCACTAATATACTCGATGTAATGCCTTTTTACCTCATTACGACAAAGCTAGCAAGTAGTGCTTATAAAAAAATAGTATGCACGAACCACACATCTCAAGTGAAACTTCTTTTCTTAAATAACCTAACAATAGGCAGTGTATAGGGTAATGGAGCACATATGGACAACACTCGTATACATATATATATATTACTAGCTGACCCAGCGAACTTCGTACCGCCCTAAAGAAATAGGGGTTGTCCAGCGGACAAAATTGTGAATCTAAACCATTCTCAGATCCCCTTGAACACACACAAAAAATTTCATCAAAATCGGTCCAGTCGTTTAAGAGAAGTTCAGTGACATACACACTCACAGAAGAATTATATATATAAAGATATATATTGTCGCGTGTGACGCTCGTAGCGTTTCAGCCTCCAACTTTCATGCTCGTCGGGAAGAGCTGCGAACACATCCCACACACACACATATATATACTAGCTGACCCAGCGAACTTCGTACCGCCATAAAAAAATAGGGGTTGGTGGTAGAAAGTTAAAAATTTAGGGATCTATATATTTTTGTATGATGTATCATAAAAATTTAAAAAAAAAATTATCTAATTTAAAAAAAATTACGGCTGGATTACCCTTAACATTAGGGGGATGAAAAATAGATGTTGTCCAATTCTCAGACCTAGCCAATATGCACACAACATTTCATGAGAATCGGGAAAGCCGTTTCGGAGGAGTTTAACCACAAACACCGCGACACGAGAATTTTATATATTAGATATATCTAGTCGTATGACGCTCGTGACGCATTTCCGTTTCATCTTTTCCATAGGATTTTTCTATTTATACCCCGTCCGAAAATAAGTTTCACTTCCACCACTATTATCTAAGAAAGGGACGTAGTTTGTGGTACTGCCTGCTAAATACACAGGAATAAATGCCACGTAAAAGTCGTGAGAACGATTGCGAACGTCACTATAAATCAATATAGCTTCTAATATTACATTCGCTTATCAAACAATCATAATAAATAATTTGTTCAAACAAAACCTCAATAAGTGTTTGTGTTTATTTAACGCTGGCACGGCCTGATTTCAATATGATTTCTTTGTTTTTGTCATCAACATTATCAATAAGCTATTTAGATAAAAAATATAATTAAATGTCTTCATTTACGTTATTAATTTAAATTTGTTTTAATATGTATTTCAGAACTTCTCCCTTAGAAGCAAGAGGGCAAACAGTTAAAGAGACACAAACAAAAACTATATACGATTTCACGGTCAAAGACTTAAATGGAAAACAGATTAAATTAGAAAAATACAAGGGGCATGTAGTTCTTATAGTAAATGTGGCTTCCCAGTGTGGACTCACAGACACAAATTACAAAGAGCTCAACATACTCTACGAAAAGTATGCAGAGAGAGGTCTACGTATATTGGCTTTCCCTTGCAACCAATTCGGTGGTCAGGAACCGGGTTCCCCCGAAGAAATATTCCAGTTTACCAAAGACAGGGGAGTAAAATTCGATATATTCGAAAAGGTCAATGTGAACGGAGAGAATACTCATCCGTTATGGAACTTCCTGAAGACTTCGCAGGCCGGTTTCATCACTGATTTTATAAAGTGGAATTTCTCCAAATTCCTCGTGGACAGAAACGGTGTTCCTGTTGAGAGATTCGCTCCGACTGTGAGTCCTCTGGAGTTGGAGGAGTATTTGGACAAATACTTGTAATCACACCCGTAATTTTAATAAGAATAAGCGATTCTTCAGAGATTTACACGAATTAGGTTTGTTGTAAGCTGATTTGGACAACTATTTGTGATCACAATCGTAATTTCAATGAGATTGGGTTAATCTACAGAGATTTACAAGAATTTGGGTTGTATGTAAGCTAAGGGCTAAGAGTAATTGCTTTGATTTATATATTTTTATATCATTAGATTTTTTTTGTTGCATTGTTATATGATTGGTTATGAATCTTTAAGAATAGATAATAATATTTATATGTGTTAATCGCATCCTTTATTTTTTGGGACCAAGTGCAAGTTTTAAGTACTTCCAGCTAATAAAATCGTAATGATTCATTAAACAATAATAGAAATCGATCGTTTTGCTTCCAGTGATAATACTTACACTTTCTTTCATTTATTGTACTTATAACTTAGTTCGACACAATACTGTAGCCAAAGATTCATGAATCTTACTGAAGAACAAAATAGATTATGTAAGGAAACCTTTTTTTATACAAGTTTTTAATAAAGTTTTTTCTTAAAAATCTAAATTTATTTTGATATCACTCATGCATGACATATATTATAACCGATGAACATAAATAAAATTATCGTAATAACAAGTTTGAATTTAAAAAAGCCCGTAACCAAGGAATAAAACATACAAATATAAACATAAAGGATATATTATTATTAACCACTAGCTGTGCCCCGCGGTACTACTACCCGCGCTTTATTAGAGATATTTTCCCGTAGTAAAACGTAGCCTTATGTGTTAATCCAGGGTGTCGGCTAACTCCATACCAAATTTTATTAAAATCGCTCGAAGTAACAAACATACACACTCACAAACTTTTGCCTTTATAATATTAGTGGCATTACGTGATTTTACTATAAGTTGACAGTTGAGAAGAGCGTTAAGTGCAAGCAGTGAAGTTATGTACAAAATCAGCTTAAGACAGCAGAGCAATCAATAAGTGACTAACAAGACGGGATAAAGCTCTGTACAAACAGCATGAGCACTGCGATATGATATATAACGCGATTTTATCACGCTCAATTGTCAAATTGCTATGGAGTGTTAATGTAAATTGTGGTGACCTTTTGACATAATAATATGGAAGTGGTAATCACCGAGCTATTTAGTAATCCACTACTGCGTTATTATAACACCACTAAAGTTCTTTTTCAGAAAAGCATTGATAGATATGCAATTTTCTCTCAAATTACACTGTAAATGTCAAAAAAGTTAGCGAATAGGCCGGCTGGGCCCTATTTCATCAACTCAACATACGTCACCGACATATGTCATAAAAATGACAGGCATTTTATAATTGTCAAATGTTCGTATCTTACCGTTATAATTGTCAGTAATTCTTGAAATTGGGGCTGTGAAGGATTTGCATTGTAATTGCAGTGTTTTCGATGTTACTTACAAAATGACTCTCCTCGAAACCTTGAAAAGATGAGTTCTAGGAGTATTATATAGAACGAATAAGTAAAATTAGTTCATCAGTTTCATCTTTTTTAAATAAAAAAATATCCCTAACTTTGCGTTTATATGAAATCGGTGCAGTAAATAGATCGCCCACTACAAACCGTCGGCTTACATTTGTCAATGACATATGTCTTGTGAAATAGGGCCTTGGTTCGGGTAAAATTTAATATGACATTTTAATAATGAATAATTTACCCCACACTCACATTTCTTTGGTAACTTTTTACTCTGGCGAACGAAGTTATTGGTAAGAATATATTATAATTATACAAGTACATAATACGCATTAAACATAATGTTTAAGTGACAACACAACACAACTTCAGACAGTCTGCCTTCCCAGACGTAGCTTGGACAGCTCTTGAATAGTATTCCTGGAACTTGTTTCGCTCCACTGGAGTTCTGGAATTGCAGCTATCATCTGTACGAGCATAAAGTAAGATCATACATCAGCATAATGATTTGGACTAAATATTGTGGTTGACATGGGTTTTTTAGGAAAAACCGGAACCCTTATAGGATCACTTTGCTGTCCGTCCGTCTGTCCGTCAAGACCGTTTTTCTAAGGAACGCGTGGAGGTATCAAACTGAAATTCATATCTTATACTCAGGTCCACTGTACCTTGGAGCTGTGAAAAACCAAATTTCTAAGCCAAAGCAATCAAAAGATACAGCCGTTTATGCCGCAAAGGACATCGACGAAATCGGCCCTAGCATGCCCAAAAGAATGTCCTTCACTATTATTTTTTTAACTTATTAGCAATTAATCATAGTAAACGGACAATCTGTTTAAAAATTAAAAGTTCTGTTACTAGATACTACAGTCTGTTCATCCAACTTGGCACTCCTTTTTATTGAAAATACAGCATTAAAAATCAACTGATAACTGGATTCAATAGGTTTCAGTCTATAATAACGATTTATTTTAATAGTTTATTGGCTTCGTTAATATTTTATTATTAAATGGGTGATTCTGTTAAAAAGTTGTGCCAAGATTGTTTACCTTAGTAATGCAATATAGGCGACCATAGGTATTTATCAACATAAAAATAGAACTAGGTACCTTAGTTAATAATACTTATTACTAGTATTTCTATTATATTTATGAAAAGATTATTTCTGAAATTATCTAAAGATAGTTTATACTCCCATCCCATGTAATATCTGTTTATTTTTATGAAAATCATAATGATAACCAGGTACATACCTAATTACCGATAGTAAACTGTAGGAACAGGTAAATGGAAAGACTGAACATTTCATTTGAAAAGAAATCTATCATTACTTACTACAGGTATCATAGGTACCAACTGACAACACTCATAAATCAATATGAATATAAGCATTTATTATTTTTATTATTAATTGCATTTTATGTTCATTTAATGCATATTATTTAAGTGCTTACATAGAGGTAAACACTAAATCTATATTCAGAATATATAAAGTGTACATCTTTTATGATTAAGTATAATAATTATAACCTCAAAATCTAATACATTCTGTAGTAGGCCACGGTTCCTCAAGTTGTCCGTATCTCAACAAATGCTTATTTAGAGTTTATGAATGATTCCGAACACAACTAGCATTTTCTCATTGCTGGGCGTTCTAGGGCATTCAATGTATGGGGAACGAGCAATGTCCTTTTCGAAACTCTCACGGGAATCAAAACCTACAGGGTACTTCCCGTAAACTTAGAATCTTGAAATTTGGTACAAAGTAACGTCTTATAGTACAGATAGAGGAAAAATTGCGAAACCGTAACTTACATCATATTATAATAAAAAATATTTTTGAAAATTCAGGTTTGTACGGAACCCTCGGTGCGCGAGTCCGACTCGCACTTGACTGGGTATTTTTTTAGGGTTCCGTGCATTAAAGGCAACAACGGCACCCTATTATTTAACAGCATCTGTTGTTCATCTTCCTATCTGTCAGTCTCATGAACAAAATAGAAAAGATTGTAGCCAGAATGACTGCTCCTGCCATTTTCGAAAATAATTTCCTAGTCTTACCGTTACTCAAAATAATAAGTTATTTATTCAATCGAAGCTGTTACAAGCACTTGTGAAGGTCAAGAAGCTAGGCCATCGGTTCGCAAAACTACGGCGGGAGACCTTGTACTGAGAAGAACCCGCAAGAAACTCAGCAAGCTATGTTATGAGACTGATTTTGACTTGTCGCTAGTCAGAAATATAAACTGCTTGTAAACGTAACGCCAGCACCAGATTTTAAGGTGTGCGCAACGAAGGGGTAGAAGGCCCTAAACCCTTAAATCTGGACCAGACCACTTACGATTTGTGGAAGCCCCTGCCCTACCATCCGGTTTCTTACGTCCGGTAGGGTTGTTGCTTAGTTTTCATAAGAACTTTGAGGATACAATACGAATACGGAGCTGGCAAAATTCGTGCTTGGACCTCAGTCCAGATACGTGGCAGCTTGTGCTGTGATGATCATCATCATCAGTCTATTAATGTCCTCACTGCTGGGTGGGGCACAGGCCTTCCCTATGAATGGAATAGGGAGATTGGCCCACGACCTACCACGCGGGTCCAGTTCGAATTGGCGAGTGTTAACGACTGCAGATGCAACCGGGACCAACGGCTTAACGTGCCTTCCGAAGCACGGAGGAAATTGAGATAGATGATTTTTGGTCAGCCATCCAATGACCGACCACTCCGAAAATTGCTTAACTTTAACGATCACAGCCGAACGCGCTTACCACCTGCGCCATCGAGCTCCTCCGTGATGATATGACATAGGTAATATGTTATGAGACTGCAGTATTTTCGAACACAGATCCGTGGACTAAATCTGAAGAGAGAATATGCTGTGGACTGTACAAGAATGTAGATTACACCTGAATACCACATGTGTTTGATTTTTACTTACCATGGAATGTGTTCCATTATTATAAGATAAGAATACTTTAAACTAACAAAGCGAAACTCAATATTAAACTACAATCATGTGATACCAGTCGAAATTACCATATTTATATTATCTATACTTTACTTCCAGTAAGTAGCAGCATATTTCTTGAGCAAAACCACAGACAAATAAACTTGCACAGCAGTAGACATTTTTGTATGTAAAATTGCTACTGCGCAAGCTTCCTTGTCTATGGTATTAGCTAAAGAAGTTTGCCGCGACCTATACCAGTGTTTCTAAACTACCAACATTATCTAAAGACAATATGTTACTATTGCTATTGGATCTACAGTAAAAAAGGGTAATTCATTATTATATAGATGAATATAAATAATACAATTTATATAAATATTGTTTTATTAAACAGTGATACTTATAGATACTGAAGTTACAAACATCTGCCAATTACATACTATTATAGATCAATATTTCAAATTAATTGAATTTCAATTCAATCAAAATGTTTATCAGGAATGTAAATACAAACTTACATATAAACCAAACTATATGATACTACTAATGCATTTTACATCTGTTTATATCCAGAGAATTCTATTGTGGGTAGTTGTTAGTTGCTTTCCGTTATGTGCAAATCATGACTTCTACTTACTAAATTGTAAACTCAAATTTATATTAGGTTCCAAATGCTAATGAAATACAATTTCCTTGAAATACCATTCTACAATAGATACAAAATCTCTTATACACTTACATTAGACATGATCTGAAAAAATAGACAATTCAAAATCTTTTCATACTACAAATAAAGCTGATAAATTTTGCAGATATTAAGATGTTTTTTCTTAGAGAGGTTTCAATTTAATAGATCATGTCTACCAGTACCCAAAACTACGAAATAAACTTAAGGTATGTCTTTGATAACCTCGGCCAGTTGCTCTCTCGTAAACATATGGAACAACGATCCCGGTGTCATTGTCACCACTTCCACATTACTTTCAGAAAGTTTCTCCTCCATCACTTGTTTCAAGATAGTGAGTGCAGACTTGATGGCTTCTTTGAGTGTCATGGACTTATGATAAACCTCCTGGAATTTTTAATATAGAAAAAATTATAAGTACATACTCATTGTTTAAAAAAAAGGCATCTATAGCTTTCTATATTTCGCTAGTTCAGTTTTATATATAATGCTCTTCTTCCTTATTTTTTTCAATGCATATTAAAACAAAATGTGAAGAAAAAGAAATTAGTTCAATCATTTTATATAGATTAAAGTGTTGATTATGGCATGATTCTCTGAACTAAAAACTAAATTTATCATAACTCTTTCTTTTTGATTAGACTGACAAAGATGCACTGTTGTCAAATTTAATACTAGGTTTAGAGCAGTGGTTCTCAAACTTTTTAAATGACGGAACCCTTTTGGGAAGCAAAATACTTGATGGAACCCTACAATAAAACAATTATTTTTATAAGTGTATTCTATATTAATCAGCATAATAAAAGTACAATGTATCCGTTACTAATTATTATTTACTTCACCACTTGGTAAGGACAATAATAGAAAACATTAAAAAAGAAAAAATCTAACTAGTGGGAGGTATGAAACTGTTTTTTATTTTTCATCAATTGCTTGATATCAGGTTTGATGGAAGAAAGTTGGAGTCTCATATCAGCTTCGGCGTCCAGTCTATTGCGATATTTTGTTTTCGTGGCTGCGTAGGTAGAGAATCCTGTTTCGCACAAATATGTAGTTGGGAACGGGAGAAGAATATCCAGAGCCATTTGGCCAAGCATTGCATATTCATCTTGGATTCTGCACCAAAAATCATTAAGAGGCGTCGTTTTGAACAATGACTCCATACTTGTGTCTGATGACATTTCTAAAAGAGATTCATATATCTCATTTGACATGTTTTCAGGCTTTTCCAAGTTGGGTAAAAAAGGATTATGAATCCAGGAGTTCACTTTAATTTTTGTATTGTGTTCTTCGGGAAAATACTTTTCAAAAGATGCGCGCATCGAACTGAGATATTGGACCAATTCTTCAAACACATTATCTTCAAACATTTCTGAGTCGTTTTCGCTAACAAACTCAGTGAGTAACGTAAAACTTTCTATTTCTTTCTTACCAATGCAAATGATCCAAAAATCTAATTTTCTTTTAAAAGTAGTTATTTTATTATAGGCCTGAAACACTGTTGTCTGTTTACCTTGCAATGATAAATTTAATTCGTTAAGTTTTTGAAAGATATCCGCCATAAAAGACAATCGGAACAACCAAGTTTTATCATACAAACGGTCCTTCAAATTAAAAGAAGTATCTGCTGAAAGAAACATTTGTAACTCGGCTCTAAGTTCAAATAGCCTTGTTAAAGTTTTTCCCCGAGACAGCCATCGCACTTCTGTATGGAGCAGCAGTGTTTTATGTTTGCTGCCATAATCTTCACACAATAATGAGAACAATCGGGATTGTAGTGGTCGTGATTTGATAAAATTAATTATTTTTACCGCTTCATCCATAACTAATTTTAGATTAGACGGCATTTGCTTCATCGCAAGTGCTTGTCTATGCAGAATACAATGACTGGAACTACAATTAGGCGCTTTATTTTTCATTCGTGACACTGCTCCTGCTGTTTTACCTGTCATCGCCTTGGCCCCATCTGTACAAATGTCAATGCAATTGTTCCAACTGAGATTATGTTCTTCAAAAAATATATTTATTTTATTAAAAATTTCTTCCCCGGTAGTGTTTGTAAGCAGCGATGAACACATAAGCATGTCTTCTTCAAAAGAACTTTTATATGGATATCTCACAATAACCAGCAGGATAGCCAAACCAGCGACATCAGTCGACTCGTCCATTTGCAAAGCGAATCGTGTATTTTGTAGACGTGTAACTAGTTCTTGTTTGACGTAGCTTGCCAGATCATGGATTCGTCGTGAAACAGTATCGTTTGATAGCGGAACAGTAGAAAGATGCTTTGCAGATTTTTCATCAAGCATACATTTTGTTATGTCTAATACACATGGTTTTATTAATTTCTCAGCGATAGTGTGCGCTTCACCTGCTTGTGCAATGCGATAGCTAACTAAGTATGATGCCTCCGTGGCCTTTTCGTTGGTAGTTTGTGTTACATGCATCATATTTTTTTGACTTTCTAATAACTGATCTTTTTTGCGAACAAAAAATTCTTTATTCTTGTCTTTAGTCTCGGGGTGTACGGTTTCTAAATGTCGACGCAATTTGGCAGGTGCCATGGAACTATTAGGAAGCAGTTTACTACAGAGCATGCAGAGAGGTGAGCCGTTGGAATCAACAAATCCGAAACTGATATAAGATTCATCATACTTCCTTTTTTTCGTCTTTGAAACCGTCGAGCTTGACGTCGTGGCACTCGTGGCATCATCTTCTGGATCGGTGATTGCTAAATTCTCCGCGCGCATTGCTTTTGAACATTCAGCGTCATTAGAAGATGTTGTTGGAACACGTTTAACACCTTTAAGCCAACGTTCCATTCTTCTTTATTTATAATGTTACAAGTCAGGATAGTGGGGTTTAAATAATGCACAATCGTTACTGCGTATAAGAGACTAAATTTAGAACCTACAGGGAAGAAATGTATAAAACTGAGACAACAGAATACAGCAGGCAGTAAAACAATGAACACCAGTTTCTCGCTAGCGAGCTTGTAAGTAGGTAGTAACTTATCGCTCCGAACGCTAATCATCAACTGACGACGCCAACGCGCGATCGCCGCTTTTATACTTAGTCCTAGACTCGATCTCAAATATTCTCGAAAATACTCGAGTCGGCACCTTTGATAAACAAAAAGCAAAAATAAAAACAGAAATTTAAAAATAGCGTTGTAAACAATATCGACTTTATCCTTTGAAGTTAGAGACGAAAGTCGCTAGTTGACAACTATAGCGTCTAATTCAGAGGCGGCTTTTATCAAAGAGACTGAGCGCTTACAAGTATACTACCCGCTCGTTTTAAGTTTGCCGCTGGCGATAGGTATGAGTGTATGACGTTCGAAATTTTTTATTTAATTGTAACAATAAAAATTGTGTACGTTAGATATTTGGGTAAAACTATGACACATTATAAGTTTTGTTGTCACGTGGGGGAGGGTACGCGCATTCCACAGACCGGCAAACTTAGAGCGAACGCGTTGTACAAGTATAAAATTGTTGAGACCAAACTTATGAGATATTGTACCAGCTAATGTAACACAAGCTTATACAAATACAAATAAATAAATAAATAACATTCATAGCGTTTTGTCTCCGCGCGGCCGCGGAGTCCGCACAGCCGCGGAGCGACCAGAGAGAGGTGTTTTGATTTTTTTATTTCTAAATTCTTGCGGAACCCCGACAGAGGTATCACGGAACCCTAGGGTTCCGCGGAACACACTTAGAGTATAGCTGGTTTAGAGAATCATACCAGAATTTAGTTTATTCCCTACTTTATTTTCTTTTAAGCAAATGCAAATTTAACCATAAGATATTGTATTTTATTTTAATTTAAGAATTTTATTTTGAATAATGAATAATAAAGAATCAACCTTAAGACTCTGCTGGGCTCCTTCACTACCAGATCCGATAGCTTTGGCATCATACTGAACAAAAGTACCACTGGGGTCCATGTGAAATAGTTGAGGACCTTTCTCATCAATACCTGGAAAATAATAAAATTAAGAATTTGAAAACACATGCCATGTGTAAAGGAGGGCTGGCTCAGAATGTATATGCCCATTAAACTTAACAATTAACAGTTGAATGGGAACAAATTAGATCTTTCTAACCTGCAAACATTACAGCGACACCAAATGGTCTTGACATTGCTGTTCCACTGTCATCATCGCTGTCCCCAAACTGAATAGCTAAATTGGACACTGCTTGAGCGCAAGACTCTACGCTCATGCGCTCATTGTACACAAACCAATGATTCTGACATTCAACACGAGCTCTCTCTACCAAAGTTCTGAAATAAAACTATAGTTATAGGACCACTTGAGACAAATGCTGCGTAGTAATATACAAAAAATACTATGATTTGGTGTACCTAACAATTTTCATATGAGCATTGTATTATGTTCCCTTATATCTTACCTCGAATCAGCCATCAAACCAGATACAGCACAAGCTATATGCCTATCGACTTCTACAATTTTCTCGATAGTTGTAGGCTCCATCAAAGGAGACGTAATACGTTTCTCCACAGCCAAAACTACACCTTCCGATGTGCAAATCCCAATGGCTGTCGATCCAAGCTTAATCGCCTCTATGGCATATTCTACTTGAAACAGCCTTCCCTCTGGGCTGAACGTGTTCACACCTCGATCGTACTCGGAACGTGTCAGAAACATCTGAAAATACCATTTATTTAGCCGGCCATGTAGGTTATGGCACAATGACAAAGCCTTTTCGATAATATACTGATTCTCTCTTTAATTGCAGAATGTCAATTTATAAAAACCCAATTTTTATACGAACCTTTTAATTTGTGTTTTGATAGATTATTAATCCACCCAATTTTATTGAAAATCACAAGAAATATAATAATTTTAGGCCCGGTTGCTCACTCGCAAACAAAATTGAAACCACAGACAATTCTTATTTTTTCGAAATGACATGACAGAAACTATGAGCTGTCAATCTTTATAGAATGGAACGAAACGTTTTTAACATTTCTGAACCCATGCATAAATTAATAATACATAGACCATATTTTTTTTAAATCAATCCAAGAATCTAAAATCTTGATTCATGCTAATAATTTTAAATTTGAAACCAAATGTTATTACAACTTGAAAGTTTTCTTAAGCTAAAACAGCAGGAATAAAACGCTTTGCCTTGTCAGCGAGTTGAGGTAATCTAATACAAAGCTGTATTCTGAGATACAAAGCTGATAGTAGCTTGTATAGCTTAAGTTACTGTGTAATGTATAAGCTTTAAAATAAGCTAACTTCTGCATCTAGGTACTATTTATTTTAGTAGTTTAATTTTATTGTTTACCCTTGCGTGAAATAAGCAAACAATAAAATATAGTAACTTATACGATAAAATTTGTAGGTAATGTAAATAGCATATCTGTTCATATAATAGACATAACGGTCGTAGGTAATTGCCAATGTTGATACCGCTATCAGTTGTAATCAACGCTGCCGGCGCACAACAACGCACTCAGAACAAAAGGTATGTTTATTTTCTTTATTTCAGTCAAAGACTTGTAAGGAACGCACTAAGTTTTATGTATAACTTAATATTTAGGATCTGTTAAAACTTACTATTCTTGTATTGTTTAATCTTCGATCAACAAAAATATCAAAAAATATTATATTTATTACTAGCAGCCGCCAGCGACTTAGTCCGCATTCACTTTAGTTTTTTGAAAATCCCTCGGGAACCTAACATTATTCCGGAATAAAAAGTCCTATAACTCTTTCCAGGTTATAAGCTGTCTCTCTGTTAAATTTCATTCAAATCCGTTCAATCGTTTTGTGTTATTGTGTAACAAACACACAGACATTTTATAATATTACTAGGATTGTTGATCGAACTTTAATGAATATTTCATTAACGATAAATAATAAAAAAACAGTTTAATTTTTTTAAAGCTACTGCTATAACTACTGAGCTATCTAGGATCAATTGCTACGCTACGCTTTCCTTTAATCGGAGTTTTTACACCAAATTTCGATAGATGGCGTTGACTATATACTAAATCTTTAACCTATTGGATCCATATCAAGGATCAATGAAGCCCCCTTTTCATACTAGGTTAAGTAGGTAATAAAAAAAGTACATCGATTGAAAAAGAGCTCGATGGCGCTGTGGTTGGCGCGTTCGATCTGCGATCACAGAAGTTAAACAATTTTCGCAATGGCCGGTCATGAGCTGGGTAACCAAAATATGGTTTATGGCGAAGTTATTCTCTACTTCCACAAACACGTTAAGCGTTTGGTCCCGGCGGCAACTGCAGTCTTTAGTTCCATATACCAACTAATTCGCTTTAATAGGCTGATCACGGCAATACTTACTGGCACATTCAATTTTTCTTTCACTCCCACTCCAGCATTACTTATATAGATTTTTATTAGACCTAATTACAGTTTTTTTGTTTACAGTTAACTTTCTTTAAAAAAACGTATGGATACTCAGTGAGACTATCAAACCGTCACGTCACGTTGAAGAGGAATACGTGACTAAAAATGGTAAACCAAGACAGAGCAAAGCCCAAAACACTGGGCAGTATCATTTATTTTTGTAAGGAAGACGACTATTATGCCATTTACTACGACACCGGGGAACAAGCGCGACTGTACATATTGAATTCGCACGTTTTTAGATATTACATGTCCCCTAAAGGAGCGTTCACAGAATACCCCGAACCCTTGAATCCGAAAGACACTGCTAAAATAGTAGTTAAGAATACTGCAGATTATGGGAAGAAGGCTTTCAATGAATCTACCCTGGACAGCGACGATGACTCTTACATTGTTAATACACATAAAATCCAATTATTTTTTGATAAGCAAACCGCAACAATGAGAATTCGTGATAAGAGAAATAGTAAAACCGTCCTCAAAGAATCACGATCTTTATCATATTACGATTATAAATCGTCACAAAGATTGCACCAAAACAAAGATGAACAATTCTTAGGAGGTGGTATGCAAAACGGCAGGTTCACACATAAAGGCGAAACGATTAATATCGTCAACACAAACAACTGGATTGACGGCGGTGTCACTTCTCCTAACCCTTTCTACTGGTCTTCGCACGGTTATGGAATATTAAGAAATACATGGCAACCCGGAATATATGATTTCGGCACCAAATCAATGCACACAATCAAAACTACTCACAAAGGGGAAGATTTCGACGCATTCTTTCTCATAAACTCTCAACCTAAAGATATACTGAATGATTATTACGAACTAACCGGGCGCCCTATCTTCATGCCTGAGTACGCCTTTTACGAAGCACATCTCAATGCTTTTAACAGAGACTATTGGGTCGAAGTATCCGCAGACACTCCTCGAGCAATTCTGTTTGAAGACGGAAAGTATTACAAATGTTATCAGCCTAAAGATATGGGAGATAAGAAAGGGATATTGGAGTCATTAAATGGAGAAAATAATAACTATCAGTTCTCTGCGCGCGGGATGATCGACAGATACAAGAGGCATGATATGCCGTTGGGCTTTTTTGTACCCAACGATGGCTACGGTTGTGGCTACGGCCAAACAGACTCTCTAGATGGCGACATCGAAAATTTAAAAGAGTTTGCCGACTATTCCAGATCTCACGGTGTTGAGGTCGCCTTATGGACTGAATCTAATTTACACCCAGCCGATCCAAACCACCCTAAAAAAGGAGAAAGAGATTTAGGCAAAGAAGTTGCTGTAGCTGGAGTAGTAGCGCTGAAATGTGATGTAGCTTGGATAGGAAGTGGTTATTCCTTTGGTTTGACCGCTGTAGAAGACGCTACTAAAATATTCGTAAAACACACCAGGCGAAATACACGGCCAATGATAATAATGGTAGACGGTTGGGCTGGCACCCAAAGGTATTCGAGCATATGGAGCGGAGACCAAAAAGGGGGACAGTGGGAATATATTCGCTTCCATATACCAACGTACATCGGTTCTGGGCTATCAGGCCAACCAATTGTTGGCTCCGACTTGGACGGAATTTACGCAGGCGGGGTAAAAGCTGTGAATGTACGCGATTTCCAATGGAAAACGTTTACACCCTTACAACTAAACATGGATGGATGGGGGGACAAGGCTAAAACTCCTTTTTCGTATGACGACGAAGCCACAAATATCAACAGAGCTTACTTAAAACTGAAATCTATGTTGATGCCATATAATTACACAATTGGACATCAGTCCACTGAAGGACTGCCGATGGTCCGAGCAATGCTACTAGAGTTTCCAAAGGACACAGTAGCGTACACAACTATCGTTCAGTACCAATTCATGTGGGGTCCTAATATATTGGTAGCTCCAATATACAATGAAGATACCATAGATGGTATTTCCGTTCGTAATGTAATATATCTACCAGATAAAAATACTATTTGGATAGATTTCTTCACTGGCCAAAGGTATAAAGGTGGTATCATTTTGAACAACTTCAGATGTCCGTTGTGGAAAATTCCTGTATTTGTGAGAAGTGGAGCGATTATACCTATGGTAAATTCAAATAATAATCCTTACGAAATTAAACGAGACAATAGAATACTTACCTTATATCCTGATGGTAAATCCAATTTCGAAATTTATGAAGATGATGGTATCACAGCTGATTATGTTGAAGGCCTATGTGGTAAAACTTTAATTACCATGGTAGGCCCAAAGTCATACGAAAAAGACACGTTATATATTTATATTGGAAAAACCAATGGTTTTTATACAGGAATGGTGAAACATAGGAAAACACTGTTCCAAATAAAGACTTCAGAAAAACCAGATAAAATAAGAGTAGCCATTAATGGCAATGATCTAAGAATGATTGAAGCGCACACCAAAAAACAATTCGAAGAAAATGACAACGTATACTTCTTTAATGATGATTTCGTTATAAATCCTTATCTTATTTCTTTGGGAGGTGAATGTCTACAACAAACATTTATTTTGATCAAAATTGCTAGCACTGACGTCACTGAAAGTGAAATTCAAGTAAAAATTTCCGGTTATACAAGCGCAGGCCAGGTATTTGGTGAAACAAAAGAAACAGATTCTATAAATAAACCACAGGAATTTGAAGCTCCAGAAAACAAAATTACGCCTACCTCCATAACTTTAAAATGGAATTTAACACCGGGAGCTGCTTACTACGAAATAGACAAAGACGGCAATGTGTATACTAACGTGATAGGAAACAGTTTTACATTTGCAGAACTCAAGAATGAATCTAAGCATTCTTTTAAGATTCGCTCTAGTTCAGGGTTTGAAGTTTCAGAATGGAGTGAAACTGTCGAGGCGATTACGAAAGAGAGTCCATACAAAAACACGCTTAAAGGTGTTAAAGTATCATGCAATATTCCCTGCAAGTCGAGTCACGAAGTGTGTAAATTAACTGATGGAGATCTGAGCTGTATGTGGCATACTGATTGGGGCGAAGAGGGTAAAGCCAAACCAGAAGAAGGGAAATATCTTACGCTTACGTTCGATTTGGGTGAAATTCGCGCGATCGAAAAAGTCGACTATGTACCACGCGAAGATGGTGGCAATGGAACTTTCCTGGAACTCCAGTATCGCTTCTCGGACGATGGCGTAAAATGGAGCGACTATTCCAACACGGTCGTGTTCCCACACGATGAAACTATTAAAAGTATGACGCTAGGTCGCAAATTTAGATATATGGAGTTGAAAGTTTTGAAGACAGTCGGCTGTTTTGGCTCCGGAAAGCAAATATTATTTTACCCAAAAAGTTGATAATCTTGTATAAAACACTGCCATTTTTAAGGTATAATATTATATAGCAATTAACATAATTAAATAAATTGGGGTGCCCTAACATTACAATTATAATTATCAATATAAGCTTTCAAGAGCCTTTCTATACAAAGTTGTATTAGCCTTACAACCTCCTTATGATATAAAGTATTTCAAATTAATAATTTGTTACCTGAAGAATAAAATTTACATACATTTTTATAATTAAAAGTTTGATTATTGAAACTGGTAATATGGATATGATTGAAACAAATGCTATATATATTATAATTACATAAAGTAATTATTATTGAATAAGAGTAATTAAATTGTTATTGGAAATCAATAAAATATTTAAATGTGCTAATAAATTATATTAATGTGCATCAATAAGTTATCAATCTTATAATTCAGTTTATTTCCTCTGTATGTCCTTATTAAATAATTTATGTCCTTTAATATTATGCATAAATAAATTATAAATTTTTATTTGAATAAAGTCTAATTTTGCAAATCCTCTGCACTTCTTACTGCCACAATTGTGCACACAGATGAGTTAGTGTCAAAAACACAACTTATAGATAAATCTTCTAAAACACAGTTGTACTCATGATCTGGATACCGACTTCTCACGTAATTTGACCTAGGGTCTTCAGAAAGCAGTGTTTCAATGTTTGCTTTAAAGGCTTGCGCTCTGCTCCCAATCAAATCATTTAACCTTGCCAAAGCATCTTCTGTAAATCTTACGTTGTATGACTGAGAAGGTGGGTTGGAAATCCAAGGGGCTACTCTTATTCCATCGTGAACTAAATTCACCAAATGAGCTGATTGAGGTGGAGTGAACCTTTCTTGTCCATCGGGGGCTCCACGTTCAGTGTCTGGCCTTCTGATCGGAGAATCGGTTCTGAAAGTTGGTCCGTCGAGTAAATCTGTGCTTGGCGGTGATTCAGGTGTTGTAGATGCAGGTGTTAAAATATTGTTGTGGTCGTTGCCATCACCATCAACAGGTGATCGAGATAAAGGGCTTACAGTATCAATCCCAATTGGATTGGTGACACGAGGACTCAAACTAAAATAAAGAACATTTATCATAATAATAAGTCTTAAAGCACTATATTTTGAAAATAATAAAATTTCATGTGATGTTTAACACACTAACTGACCTTCTTGTGTCTTCTTCCACTTGTAAATTACTTATCATCTCCCCAATATCGCTGATTCCTTCTGTTGGGGGTCTAACAAGTGCAGATATTGTATCATCATCAAACGCTACCTGTGGATAATCATACTGGGGAATGTAAGGCTTAATGTCCAGAACTGGTGTGCCATTTACCATATCAACACCCAGAAAGTGGATTTTGTTACCTGGAATTTAACATTTATGTTACTGTAGGTTAATCTTTAAAAAGAAACACTCTTACTCAACACAAAGAAATAAAGTTTTGGGAAAGAATTATGAATCAAATCGGCAGCATAATCCGCCTTATTACAAAAAGTAAAACTTGGGCCAAAAATAATGCTGTCACTTAAGTTTGCTAAATAAAACAGTTACAACATTAGGTTTAAAGTGAAGAAAAAATTTTAAGCAAGACTAACCTTAGTCAACGTTTTGGAATAAGGAGGAAAGTTTTGTAATAAGGGTCTATTACCAGTGGACAGCTACAACGGCAACAAAAATCTTATACCTGAGCATCTGTGTGTGCTTGCAATGATTTCAAAGTCTATAGAATTGATTTTGGTGCCTCTTTCATTGTCAGTAAAATAATAATTCATGGAAGGTTTTTAGAATATTTAACACTACACACTCAAGTATAGGTTGCAGCAAACTTCTTGAGCTAAACCACAGACAAATAAATTTGAGCAGTAGTTTTTGTAGTTAAAATTGCTACTGTTCAGACTTCCTTGTCTATGGTTGTTGCTAAAGAAGTTTGCTAGGATGTATACAAATACCTGTAAATAATAATTTTAGAGAATACAGATTAATATCACTAAAAAAATCAGTTAAGGTTCCATTACCAATAAATGATCTGGTTCTTTACCTTCAATACTATGAATTTTCACAAGAGATAAGCCAATAGGACAAGGTCTATGTGGTGATCTGGTAGAAAAGACACCACGGCGCTCACCCCCAAGACGAGGAGGTGCCACTTTTGCTGGTACATTTGTGCTTTCTGTTGCATGAAAATGAAATATTATCCTGTAAACACAAATAAGAAGTGGTCAATTAAATAATAATGTGTTAATGCTGTAGAGATACAAGCACAGCTGATACTAATTCCTAAAGATGAAACTTATTTGTCATATCTTTATGTCACATATTGATTTAATGAAGTTTTCTGTTTTGACTACTTACCAAATATGTGAGAATTCATCCAAACTACTCAATGCATGTTCTGGGTTATTAAAAACATTAGTGTCTATGACAACAGTTCCCCTAGAGTTACTCAAAATTGAAGGTTGGCGGGGTACTGCACGCTTATTTTGAAATATTGTTTCAATCACTCCAATTGGTTTATAAGAGATATGTTCTGTTTCTTCAGAAGAAGAAGGTTCATTATTATGATGATTTACAGCTGAACAAAGATTATTAGTTAAATAAAACATGCTTAAATGTTAAGTTAGTGATCAATTACTTAAAAAACTAGGTAATCTACCTGGTTTTGAACATTCACCGCAACGAAAACCATTTAACGTAGATTTGATAGATTGGATTTCCTTCATGTGTTCATGTTTAAGTGCCGTTATTTGTTGCCTGAAATCATTCAGCTCAATTCATTATTATTTTTTTGTATTTACGGATGAAATGAGTGTAAAGAACCTGTCTAGGCCATACCAACCTTAGATTTTTTATTTCGGATCTCGCCGAACCTATTTGATTTCGATAATATTCTATGTCTCCAGACATTGCTCTCGTTGTTCACCTTTAATGCAAAAGACACAGATGCTTGCCAGGAGCCACAAGTAATTATTTATTTGGTTCTGTTCTGTGATCCAAACCAAAATAAATACCACAGATTAGGTACTATAGTTACTACGTAAATAAATACCAAATCCAAAACTAGCTTGTGTAGTTCGCGAAAGGAAAGACATAATATTGAATCTTAGTAATCTGTATTCGCGAACTAGGTCGTAAGGGCGCTCCCACAGGTAATTTACTCGAACTAGTTCCCTCATTCCCCGTTCCACAGTTCCTGATAGGGATGGCGATTTTTTCCAAAAAAGAACGATTTTTAAATCGTTTCGTATCGCGACCTAATGAATCATTCCACAAAAAAACGCGACCAATAAGATCGATTGCTGAAAATCTTTCTTTTTTTCAAGTTTTATTTTATATTTTGTATTATTTAAATATAAATCTGTTTTATTAAAATCAAGAACCATATTATAATTTAACGATCTCTTATCAGTAAAATCCAACGATATTAAATACCCTGGATACACCAACACGAACAAAATCGTGCCCGAAACCTGTCCAAAAGGTACATTGAACGATTCACGAAGCTCCGTAAGATGATCGCGAAGTCAAAAATCAATATAAGGCATTATTTAAATATTGAACAGAACCTGTAATACATACTGTATAATGTCTTAAATAAAACGCATGCGTCGACGCAAGGACTTCTGATAGTTTGAAATGCAAGCTCGTAAAATTTTACGACTTATTGCTATATGCGGAAGAATTTAGACCTTAGTTCTTTGACTCTACGCGCAATTCTGAACGCGCTGTTAGCAATATAGCAGCACTGACCACGAGGAAAAGAGACGACTATATGGCGACGTATAACCGACCATGCTTTTGAATATCACAAATATTTTATTTTAAATCAGTTTATAGTAAGTATTAGATGAAAATTTACTTCAAATGCGTTAAATTAACAAACATTGACTAGATACCTGTCGAAAAAACGACACTTTTCGTACTTTAAGTATTATTTTCGCATTTTTTCGTGGAGCTCTGTGGCATCTTGACTTTGTAAGGGTCCGCGCGTGACTGTGAACCAAGAAGTGCTTGAGTGGAGTTTAAGCACTTCTTGATTGGGACACATTTTAAGCGCTCGTGGTGTATCTAGGGTATATAATATCGTTGGTAAAATCAGGCAATTCGATGAGATAACAAAATATTTTTATTCAAAGATTAAAAACAAATGTAACTTTTTTATTAAAGAGTTGCGAAGGAATTCGCACATACAGCTATCTCGCGAGTTTTTAAATAATTAACCCTTTAACCGGCAATTAATTGTAAATACGTTTTTGGTTTTCAAGGGTGAAATATCGATTCGCTGAATCGATTCAGTACTACATATTGATTTATAAAATCGATATTTTTAGCTCCAAAAATCGATTCTCCGGTTAATATTCAAATAAGGAGAAAATTATGGAAAGGTATTTTAATCACTACTACTTTTCAATAGGAGGTTTTTGCGAAAATGGTGTCTTTAAATAGTGCTTCCACAATGTGGAATTCCCATTGTATATCAATATCTTCATAAATACAAGTAATTTTGTCACGATATTTCGATAATCTATAAAAGCGACTTTTGACATTGCAATTTTTCTAATATTGGAGGGATATCACACAATACATATTATGTTGTAAATGCGAGAAATTGTTTGTTTGTTACCACTGCTAAACGGCTGGACGGATTTGAATGAAGAAGTGTCTTATTTTATCTGCCACGCCACGTTAGGACCTATAAATAAAGTCCTACTATAAAAAATATACACGCAGGTGAAATAAAGGGACAAAAGCAGCTAGTTATAAATTAACCTAATTAAAAAATACACATGCCGTTTCTAAAATGAACTAAAAAGTACAAAATAAGAAGTTTGTATATTTTTGAACGTTATTGTGGTACTTTTAAGGACATCTTCTCATTAAAACCACTACCCAACGATATTAAAAATATACTCCTATTCGAAAAAGAGTAGTTATTTTTTAGTTCCATTTTTTTTTAACAGCGGTCGTGTTTTTTATTGTATTTTAAGCGTTTTAAGTGCCCCCATAAATTTTGTATATGCTTGAAGTAATCCAAGTATGTATTTTCTAGTATTTATCACGTTTTACAGAAAAAAGTGTTGTTGGTTTCGATTCTAGCAGGGTTCTCTAAACTTACAACTAAATTTAAGATCAGCCTCTCCTTTTCATTCTGTATAGAAAATATATGTAAAGGCAAACTATAAGGCATTAATTGTATTTTTTGGTATAGTCGCATAGTAAAAATACGAATCGGTTGTTGCGATCAGACATGTGGGACCTTCTGTGTGGTTGTCTTAATCTATCTTTACACCTAGTGCAATGAAAGATATTAACTACTACCAAATACTGACACACTTTAGAGGTTCAACCAGAAACCACACAGAAGCACACATGTCTCTTTGTCTACCTACAACCCACAGACTGCGATTATTCACACTTTCGGCATTAAACAATTAAAACATGTTACTATACTAGTGCAAGTTATATCAATATTTCATACCTTATTCTGTCTTGTGTTTAATTTCCTATATCTGCTTCGCTTAGTTTAATTTATTCCAATCTTCAGTTGTTAAGATCATCAAGGCACCTGTACAAGCAAATTATAAGATGAATCTCTGAATCGAGACACTAAGCATCTTCCTCGCCAAAAGTAATAAACTATATAACTATAACCTGCAGATAGGTTAGCAATTTTAGAAGCGTTACTTCTAAAAATATAGTAGCTGGCAAAAAATATAGTAAGTACTTATGTGGTTATAATAAATAAATATTTCCAACACTCCTACCAATTAGCCTAGCCCCAAAGTAAGCACTGTAAGGCTTGTGTTATGGGATACTAGGGTAACGGATAGAATACATATATAAGTATATTTATATAGAAATACATATTAAACATCCATGACTGGAGTACAAATACTCGTATTCATCACACAAACATCTGCCCCCACCAGGATTCGAACCCGAGACCTCAGGAGTCGGCGACACCATGAAACCACTCGACCACGGAGGTTGTCAAATAATATTTACTTTATTTTTGATATAAATATATTTTTGCTGCTCTTTGCGTTACTAATATCATAATTACAATCTGTAATAATTTTTAAGAAAGCTTTAACTGTCAAAAATATGATTTAAGCAAAATAATATAGTAGTTTCGCCTTATATATTTTTTTTTTAGAAATATAGTATTTGATCTCCTGATATAGGTAGTAGGATACTATATTTTATAGTAGGGTTATCAACTCTACCTGCAATCCGAGCGGCGCTGATGAATTCAGAATCTGAAACAAGAATGACTTAGGGTACGACCACAGTGCACGCAGGTTCAGAATCAGATTCAGACTTGGAAAACAGGCTCGTGAGATGTCAGCTTGAGGAAAGCAGGTGATGGCCACAGTGGAGGCAGATAATACAAGACGCGGACGCGAGTACTGATGCCAGATTGGGGGGATTCGCCCCAACTTTGCGGGGTTTTTAAAGCGATGGGGGGTTTATTGTACATCTGTTTTATCATAATTGATTATTTAAATGTATATAAATATAAGATTGACTTTATTACAACAATGCAGAAACTTCTCACTGTTGAAAAGTTGTTTTGGATTATATTGGACTAGCAAACCAGTGAACCAAATGTTCACCAAAACCTAAAAAAAAATGTATTTAATTAATTGAGAACTTCGGAGATTTTGTGTGGTTTCGTTTGAAATTCGTGATTTCTCGAAAACCGGAAGTGCTACGTTACTCAAATCCGGTTTGTAGTCTTATCAGACTATTCTTAACTTATAACTTAAACATTCTCTTTATCTATCTCTTACGGTTTGGCCGCTGAAACAGCACCACAGACGTACGGACGGACGGACTTGTCTATTATATTGGATATTTTATAAGAGTAAAACCAAACGTAACAAATTAAAGCTAATAATTATTTTTTAAAACGGGAATCACTTCATGGAATGATTGGGTATCTAAAAAAGATCTGTAGGTATGTCAGCCTGTTGTTTAATTTATGTTTACATTTTATGCTATACTTTCTGTAACAATCATTAGGACTCAATACGAGCTTTAGAATATAATTTAATAAATTGTATTAAAAATGAGACTACAAGAACAAAGTATTTCTTAACCTTCAACACTTATTTCTCCAGCGAAGTTTTGCCAGCACCATCAACTACATTCCTATTTGAATGGTTCTTGTCTCTTTTATCCCATACAGCAGGGTTAAGAAAAACTTTCGCGATAAGCGCTTCTATATTCATTATGTTAATTATAATATATAAATTAAGAAACAAGAGTAGATCGCAAACAAGAAGCAAGGCACTAAATGTTTGTATAAAACACAACCAATAAAAGGTTACATATACAACTATAACCTGCAGTTATATAGAGTTATGTGCGCATATTATTTATTTAAGGAAAATTATCACAACGTTACATGACATTAGTTTTTCTTCATACATCACGAATTCTTAAGTGACAATGTCAAGTGACCATAACTAACACCTCCTCTCAATGTTAAATTGCAAACAATTTGATATTGCTAATAGTTATTAATATTTACATACTTAAACAAACAAAGCCTCCTCTCAAATAAAAATCATAACATAAAATTACCACTACCTACTTAACTCAATTTATTAACAGCACCTATAACTTAACACCAAATTAGAACAACGTATATAAAACACTTATTTTTACTCAACTCTTAACTTTCTAACAAAGTAGGCATGCTTTACAGAATTGAGAGGTTTTGTAAATATATCCGCTACATTATCATTAGTACAAACATATGACATTCTAAATTTCTTTTGGATAAAAGCATCTTTGACAAAATGGAACTTTATATCGATATGCTTAGTGCGTTTGCTGTTTTCGTTACACACTATCATGCGAATTGCACTTTGACTATCTATGAGCAGATAGGTGTGAAC